CTGGAGCTGCAGCGGAAGCGTGAGTACATCGAGGAGCTGGAGCCACCCACTGACAGCAGCAGTAAGTGGGACCCAGCACTCAGAGGGTGAGGAGAGCCCATAGCTCATTGGCATGGAGCTGAGGGGCCACCTGTTCCCTCAGCAGCCCGGCGGATTGAGGAGCTGCAGCACAGCCTGCAGAAGAAGGATGCAGATTTAAGGGCCATGGAGGAGCGGTACCGCCGCTATGTGGACAAGGCACGCACGGTGAGGACACTGGGGGTCTCTGCAGGCCTCCTGCCAAGACTCCTGCGTCCCTGTGCCTCTCGTTGATTTAAACCTCCTGCCGAGGCTAGGCGCAGTGGCTGAAGCCTGTAATCCCAGCACTCTGGGAGGCCAAGGCGAGAGAATTGCCTGAGTCCAGGGGTTTGAGATCAGCCTGGGCAACTTGGCGAGTCCTCGTTCTACAATAAATCAAAAAATTAGCTGGGTGTGGTGGCACTTGCCTGTGATTCATGCTACTTGGAAGACTGAGGTGGAAGGATTGCCTGACTGAGCCCAGCAGGTCAAGGGTGCAGTGGCCGTGAGTGTGCCACTGCACTCCAGCCTGGGTGATAGAATGAGACTCCAACTAAAAAAACCCCCAAAACACCAAACCTCCTGCCAGTTTGCACATCTGTGTTCCCCACTCTCACTTGTCAGACCCTGCCATGTCACAGACTCTGCACGCTTGCCCATTGCCACTGGCTGTCACATTAAATGCACCCCAGTGTGTCCAGTGGGGCCTCGCCTGGCTGTGACTTCCCCAATCCATAGGTCATGCAGACACCGGAGCCCAAGCAGCGGCCACTTGGGGGGGCACCACCTGAACTCCATGCCTTGAGGACACAGCTCCGGGAGCGAGACGTCCGCATCCGGCACTTGGAGGTGGGTGTCCTTGTCCTTTGCACCGCTCCCAGTGTATCCAGGACCCTGATGCCTACCTTCTCAACAGATGGACTTTGAGAAAAGTCGAAGTCAACGGGAGCAGGAAGAAAGGCTGCTCATCAGTGCCTGGTATAATATGGTGAGTGTGCCACCACCTTGGGCAGGGTGTTGGGGGTTCCCATGGACCCACTGGCCCTCAGCCACACCCTTCCCTTCAGGGCATGGCCCTGCAGCAGCGAGCTGGGGAAGAGCGGGCACCTGCCCATGCCCAGTCGTTCCTGGCGCAGCAGCGACTGGCCACCAATGCACGCCGCGGACCCCTGGGACGCCTGGCATCTCTGAACCTTCGCCCCGCTGACAAGCACTGACAGACCTCACGATCCTGTCGCCTGTCCAGCCAGCCAGAGCGTCCTCCAACTCACATGGCATCCAGCATTGGCCCTCAGCTGCTGTTTGAGAGCCTTGAGGTCCTGATCTCTGCCCTTTGCTCTCCCAGGTTGGGGGGAGGGCAGGTGGCAGGTGGCAGGTATAGGCCTTTCTTTTTAGCAATGTGATTCTTATCCGTGATTCTTTTCCTGAAGTTAATGTGCTGCCTGAGGAGAGTCTGATTTTATATTTGAAAAGAAGAATAAAGACTTTCAATCTGTCTTGCCTGGACTCTAGGCACCAAGGTGAGGGAGGGAAAGTAGGCCAGGGACTCAGACCATTGCTTTTAAGAAAGGTCTGGGCCAAGTGTGGGGGCTCTTGTTTATAATTCCAGCACTTTGGGAGGCCAAGGTGAGAGGATTACCTGAGTCCGCAGGATCGAGACCAGCCTGGGCCACTTGGCGAGACCTCATCTCTACAATAAATGAAAAATTAGCCAGGCATGGTGGTGTGTGGCTGTAGTTCCAGCTACTTGGAAGACAGAGGTGGAAGGATCACCTGAGCCCAGCCGGTCAAGGCTGTGGTGGCTGTAAGCATGCCACTGCACTCCAACCTGGGTGACAGAGTGAGACTGACTTAAAAAAAAATAAAAGGCTGGGCTCGGTGGCTCAACCGGTAATCCCAGCACTTTGGGAGGCTGAGGTAAGTGGATTTCCTGTACCTGCGGGTTCAAGACCAGCCCAGGCAACTTGGTGAGACTTTGTCTCTACAATAAATCAAGAATTAGCTGGGTGTGGCGGCCTGTGTCTGTGGTTCCAGCTCTTTGTAAGGCTAAGACGGAAGGACTGCCTGAGCCCAGCAGGTCGACACTGGGGTGGCTGTAAGTGTGCCACTGCACTCCAGCCTGGGCAGTGAGACTCCAACTCAAAAAAGAAAGAAAGAAAGAAAGAAAGGTCTGGCTTGTGTTCTTACTCAGGTGTGAGCGACTGAGAGGTGAGAATCATGTTTGTGTGTATGGCAGTTTTTGTTTCGTTTTGAGTTGGGGTCTTACTCTGTCACCCAGGTTGGAGAGCAATGGCATGATCATGGTTCACCACAGCCTTGGCCTCCTGGGCTCAGGCGATCCACCTCAGCCTCCCGAGTAGCTAGGACTATAGGCATGCACCACCACGCCCAGTGAATTTTGAGTTTTTTTCAATTTAATTTATTTTTTGTAGCGATGAGGTCTTGCTATGTTGCCTAGGCTGATCTTGAACTCCTGGGCTCAAGCAGTTCTCCTTCCTTGGCTTCCCAAAGTGCTAGGATTATAGGTGTGAACCACTACTCCTGGCCTGTGTGGCAGTTTTTGAAGATGCTTCAGACAAAAATGTGTCTTCATGAAGCTGACATTTCCAACAAAGGGAGACAGACGATAAACAAAATAGATAAAATGAAAGTTTGAGAGGTACTATGGAGGAAAATTAAGCAGGCAAAAGTTATGGAGTTAGAGGTGGTGGATTTGGGAGGCAGCAATTCATTATAAAAGGCCTCACTGGATGGGTACGGTGGTTCACACCTATAATCCCAGCACTTTGGAAGGCCAAGGTGAGAGGACTGCCTGAGTCCATGGGTTCGAGACCAGCCTGGGCAACTCGGCAAGACCTTATCTCTACAATAAATCAAATAAATTAACCAGGTATGGTGGTGCATACCTGTAATTCCAGGTTCTTGGAGGGCTGAGGTGGAATGATCAACTGAGCCCCGCAGGTTGAGGCTGCAGTGGCCATGAGTATGCCACTGCACTCATGTTGCCAGCCTGGGCAACAGAGTGAGACTCCAACTAAAAAAAAAAGACCTTACCAAAGAAGTGACATTATTTAAGCAGAGACCTGAAAGACATAAGGGAGGTGCCATGAAGGTGTCTGAGGCAGAATGATCCTGTGCAAAGGCCCTGAGATGATGAGATCTTACTTGGTGGGTTAGTGCAGCGGCCCCCAACCTTTTTGGCATCAGGGACTGGTTTCGTGGAAGATAATTTTCCATAGAGGCGGGGTGGGAAGTCATCAGGCATTAGATCCTCATAAAGAGCTGAGGAGCATGCAGCTTAGATCCCTCGTACACGCAGTTCACAGTAAGGTTAGTGCTCCTGTGAGAATCTAATGCCACCACTGATCTGACAGAGACAGAGTTCTGCTTGCCCACTGCTTACCTCCTGTATGGCCTGGCTCCTAACAGACCATGGACCGGTACTGGTCTGCAGTCTGTGGGTTGGGGACTCCTGGGTTAGAGGGACAGTAAGGAGGCTAGTGTGGCTGGAGTGAGTGAGGAGGAGAATGGGAGTGGATGAGGGCAGGGAGAGTTTTCAGGGCCTTGTGGGCTACAGGGAACACTTTAACTTTTATTCGAAGTGAGGTGGGAGCCATGGAAGATTCTAAGCGAAGGAGGAAAGTGACCTGATTCAGGTGCTTTCTGGTAGCCATTGTGGGAGGAACAGACAGACTAGGGGGAGCCAGGGCCAGAGTTGGAAGACCAGGGCGGAGGTGGCTAGTCTAGGTGGGGGCTCTGGCCAGCGTGGGTGCCCTGGAGGAGACAGAAATAGTTGGATTTTGGATACAACTTGAAGGCAAAGTTGATAGGATTTGCTGCCAAGTGAGGAAAAATGGGGTCCACCACAACTCCTAGCACCTTGGCCTCATCACCTGGAAGGACAAAGCTAACAGACACAGGGTAGGCAGGTTGGGGAGCTGATTGGGAGCTAGGTTTTGGGTGTGTTACATTCAAAACGCCTGTGAGATCTCTGCAAGGAGACAGCAGTTGGCTCTCTGGGTCTGGATTCAGGGCAGGAATCCTACATTCAGGATTCATCAGTGTGATTAAATTATGACCTGGAGGCTGGGCACAGAATCTCACGATTATAATCCCAGCACTTTGGGAGGCTGAGGCAGGGAGATCGCTTGAGCCCAGGAGGAGTTCAAGACCAATCTGGGCAATATAGTGATACCTCTACAAAAATCAAATTAGCTGGGTGTCGAGGCACACACCTGTAGTCCCAGTTACTTGGGAGGCTGAGGTGGGAGGATTACTTGACCCCCAGGAGTTCGAGTGAGCTGTGATCGTGCCACTGCACTCCAGTCTGGGTGACAGTGAGACCCCAAGTCAAAAAAAAAAAAAAAAAAAAAAAAAAATATATATGGCCTGGAACCCTGAGGAGGTATTTGAGAGGAAGAAGAAGCTGTGGTTCTGGGACAGTGGCTGACTCATTAATTAATGAGTAAAGCCAAGGTCACTGATGTGGGTTTTCCAGAGAGCAGAGAATGGGAGGAAGTGCTCAGGGCATCATCAGGAAACCTGGAAGAACTCCCAAATCGTACTTAGCATAATGCCTGGCAGGAGAAGGCAGGCTAACGCTTGAGTAAAAACCACTGACAATTTATTGAGCACCTCCTCTATACTTAAAGACTTCATTTCATTTCATCCCCACATCTCCATTTGAAGGAAACTATAAAGGCAGGATACACTGATAGAGACCTCTCAGGCGGTGGGGAGTGGGGAGGAGAACTTGTGGGAAAGACAGTTCAAAAAGGCTGGAAGAATCCCCCACCTCTAGCTGACCCCGAGTAGCGGGAGCTGGTCAGAGGTGGGCAGGCGGACTTTATGCAGGCACACGAAGCTTCTCAGACCCGGACGGCTGCCCGTGTGCTGGACGAGGGCTCAGTGTTCTGTCCTTGGGGGTCCTGAGCCCGAAGGTCTCAGGCCAGATTCTCCTCCTCCTCGCCAATAGGGCTAGGCAGCCAGGGCGGTGCCTGCCCCCGGGGCCCGGGCATAGGCACGGCGGTGAAGGGGTCGGCCGCGGGGCCGGGCAGGGGGACAGACGGCTCGGGACCGGCCGGGGGCGGAGGCTCGGGCTCGAGCTCGCGCAAGCCGGAGTCGAGCAGCGGGTCCACGCAGCGGCACTCCAGGGCCGCGCCGTCGAGGACTCCCGAGCACACGCAGCTGGTGGCGGTGGACGTCTCGGACACGCAACTGTTCTTGCGCCGCAGCAGCGACAGGCGGCGGCCCAGCCCGCCTCCCCCGGCCAAGCCAGCACCCGCTGGCAGGAGGCGCTGCAGGAAGTCGCCTTGCGCGTCGCACAGCGGCCCATCCAAGCCCTCCAGGCGCTGGATCTGCATGTCCTCCTTGGCCAGCCTGAGGA